TGAAGTTTGATAGTTTATATAGCTAACACATTGTATTACATACCAACCTGCTATATATGCCAATTTTACGACACATTACAAGTATATAGGTAAACCATGAAACAAAACAAAGAGCGGGGGCTTAATTGATACAAACACTATACTTGTTTACATATCTGTATACGTTTACTTACAATTTGCATCGTATCAAAAGACATGTATAGGTCATTTGTGCGAAAAGAATATCTCGCAAAACAATGTAAATAAAAATGGTCATTAGTCGTTATTGTTTTCCTCTTACATTTGTTAAAGATTTCAACAATTCGAATAGAAGACTATAATTATTTTTTGAATTCTGGTAATATTATTGGCATACCTAAATATTGTTCCTCGTAGAAATATTTATTTAAAATCGGGTTTCCAAGAAATACGTATCCATGATTATGTCTGTTAAAAATACAGTAAAATATATTGTCGGATGTATAATTATCATTCGGATTGATTTGACCGCAGGTCTCTAAAGTGGCAAGGTTGATTTGATTCTGCATAACAATTACATTTCATTCTAACCGTGCCATTTACAATCATACTGTTTGTGAGCTTTTTACATGTATGTGATATTGTTTCAAATTATAGCGTTTCCGTACTTAAATAATTTATTTAGATATATATTTTATCTGAAGATCGGGATAATAAGTAAAATTGTTAATTTGAAACACAAACGTCTTGTATTTTTATGTAATTGTTCTGTTCCCTTTGCTTCCGAGTGATCTCCCCTTTTCAAGATTATTGTATTTCCTTAATGCAGCATCAAATGATTGTTCATTTGAAACCATATCCTCTTAAACAACTATTTTCTTTTCAAAGGAAAGTAAAGTAAACGTTATTTTAGACTGGAGTATAAAAAAACGTTTATTTATAGTGATGAAAACATGACAATTCATTGTAGACAACTTTATAAAAAATATACGAATTTTGAGTTTTTAGATTCCAATTATGAATATCCTAGTGTTAACAATTTGCATTAGTTGACATTATTTGATAAATTGAATCTAAATCTAAATCGAATTATTCTTTTTATTTTTAACTTTAACACATTTTCGTATATTGTGATAAATATACTAGTGCATTTGTTTAACAGTTTATACAGATCATATCAAATAGCGAGATATATGTGAATTCAATCCCTTTACGACAATAGGTTTGATACTATTATGTTAAAAGATATGTGTCTTTTTTTGTTTAATGATATCTGCAATATCTGATAGTATATAAGACAATAAAAATGACCTGTTACTTACCGAGTAAAATCAATAAAGCTTATGGTAATAGAAACATAACAGCTGATGTGAATAATTACCATAATTTACCATCATATATATCATATTCTTACTTTAATAATTTACAAAGCTGAAAGAGGCAAGTGTATGATCCCTCGGAAGTATTAATCACAATAAAATTACATGAAAATTGCAGAGTCGGTTTGATTGAGTCTGTACATTCGGGAAAATGTAAATGTGCAACATCCCTTACGCCGCCTAGCCCTGGCTTGAGCGGTTCACAATTCTTTACACTTAAAAGTGGTCAGAAGAATCAGAAAAAATATAACAACACTGAAGTGAAGTACCTTTTACAGCTGCTGCACAGCACTTGACAACTGTTGTTGTGAAGTATAAAAAGTGATCTCTCGGAAGCATTGCTATCATAAATAGTTATTAGTATTCTCTTACATGTAGGCATTCCGCAGAAAATAGTAAAAATGAAAAGCTCATTAGCTGCCGTATTTATCAGTTAACATACATGAATATCTCTGAGAAACATGTCATAATAGTTTACCTATCACATAGAAATGCCGAAAAATATTAAGATGAACAAAGTCAATTTCAGCAATGCTTGCGATATTTGATTTACGTTCCTATAAATATGAAAGTGTGTTCATTATTTGGGATAATAGTCATATACTACTATTCTAGAATTAAAACAATGAGATCACTGACGTTTGAACGCCACCTTTCCATGTTGATCTTGTTTATCATATTTTATGTTCCGGAAAATCTCATGAAGTTAACTGAATCTGAATCTGACAGTTTTAATCAGTTTGTTTGTTTGGTGTAGTTTTACGGCGCACTAACACAGTACTGGTAATATACGAGTAGCACCGAAACAGGAACGATGAGTTTGGCTAACCTATGGTATTGTAAACATCAAAGTAACATAAGAGGTCAAAACAGCCTCACCTGCTGGAGCTAAGAGATGTATAGACTCCATTGATCCGAACCCATATAGTCGCCTCTTACGATCACGTAATACTAATGCCTCTACCATCAAAGGCAACCCTTAAGCCACAAGGGCAAATTTTGATAAGAATGTTTTGTAATTAATAATGTGTAGTTGCTATCAACAGTTGAAGACCTAAATTTTAAAATCAATAAGGTCTTTATTTAGATTTAAGGTAACATATATATATTTCGTGCCTAAAACAATGCACGGAGGGGCACTGAGGTCTTCCTCCACCATTAAAGCTGGAACGTCGCAAAATGACCTGTACTGTGTCGGTGCGACGTAAAACCTAAATCAAACAAATAAAATATATATTTCATAAACCTTAAGAGTAAATGATGTATCTAAAGAAATATTTGTTCAGAAAAACACATATAGTGTATATGGTTATATTTGTTATGCGTTCCCTTTAGTAGGTAAACCGATATTTTAACATTAGTCTCTGCATTCGATATGGTTCAATGATAATAGTATAATATAACACAGCCTTCAATTAATTACGACTAATTCGTTTCAGTGTAAATTCCATATTTCAAGCCTACCGATTGACATTTGTTGCCAATATTTGGAATGCTTTACAATATTGTTTATAAAACCGTAGATTAGTTTTCAATGGAAATATAATGTATCTTCTTACTTAAAATGGAAATAAAACGAAAAATAGTGCCAATTAAAAAAAACTGTATTAGTATATCTTTAACATCAAAGGGAATATCATGACAATTCCAGTTTCCATATCATATCATATCAAAATACACATCTTTAACAATTCAAAAGGTAAGGATGATTTTAAAGTTTACACTTTGTCCGACTCGAATATCAGTTTTCAAATTGCCGGCTTATCTACCAAAAGTATCAGACAAAATAACAACCTTGTCTGTGAATAATTTCCAATCTATTTATGTATTCTTATTAGAAAATAATTATGAATTTACTGAATTCTTTCGTTTTTGCTATCCTTACGCAATACGCAGTCACAAACAGTCCGATTTAATTCTTTAAGGATGTACACTAGTGACATATTACCCCCGCTTTTAAAGCAATTTAAATATACTAAAATTACCATCATGCAGCTGCATTGAAACTTAGGGTCGTGGATTAAGAAAGATTTTTTCCAATCGTTCTTTAGTTTTTCATTTTTAAATAAAGATAATTCGTAAATGATACTTCGTTTAGTAACAATTTGTTATGCTAAAAAAAGTTCTAACAGATACATTATTCAACCAAATATTGTGTTCAAACGAAAGGATACGTCTTACAAAGCAACTGACCGAATTCTTAAACTTTTGGCTTACTAAACGACTAGCATTATATTATATTCGTGATAATAGATAAATTCCCGGATTTTACAGACACGGAACCAGATCTGTCTTGCATTTCCTGGTAGATAAGACTGATAGTTTAAACGTGCAAATCGTTACCTTTGGGAACGCCCTAACACATTAAACAAATATTTGTGTATGTTATGATAGAAACTGAAATACAAATATCGGTAAAATTTGTAATGAAATGTTTGAAAGTTTGCTTTGAAGTAAATGGATAGTGTTTAAAGGGTTATCATTTATCGCGATTTTAACATCTTTATGAAGTGTATGATTTGAAAGTTTATTCGAATATAGATAACGGTTAGCATAATCTTGGAAATAGTGATTCTATGCGTTTAAAAAATGAGAAAAACCAAATATCAATGTACAAAATGAAAAATAAATTATTCAAGGCTGTTCTTAAAACTAATAAAATATATAAGGTATATAAGATACTTCGGTACAATAAGGTATCAATTAAGAGCTTTTTAGGTTTGTCAATGTACTAATAAAGTTTCAGAAATATCAATACATGTATTGCTAAAAAATACATGATATAATGCCATTCAAAATGTTTTATTTGACTAATAGGCATTCCTTAGTTTACACCTTAACATAGATAAAAGGTTGTTAATGTAGTTCAAAGTCTTTGAAACTTTCTTTATAATAACTATGTGTCCATTCCTTTTCTATAAAAGCATTATTCTTTTTGGATTTAAATTCTTATATGTCTTTCATATGATACATTCACTGAATGCTCTCCTTCCTTTTAGATCTTTTTCATATTTAATACAAAACAGAACATTGATGTAAAGACAAGAAAATATTTTTTTGTTTTCTCTTGTGTTTTTTACTTTCCTTCTCGATTGCATTTTGAACATTGGACGATATATGTCCTTACAATCTTGATAACATTGTATGTTTTTGTAAGAGCATATATGACTGAGAAAATGAATCTGAATCAATCAAAGATTTAAATCATTTTAATTTTAAAAAATACTAGCTTTGTAGGAGATAGGATTGAGATAATATTTCAATGCAAAACAATGGACTTCAAGCAATTAATTGCTATATTCATATCAGTTTCTGATGTTTAAACTTGAAAATTGATAAATTGAAAAATCAATTTATCCTACTATGATTAATATAGAACTATGTTTTATGGAAAGTGTATGATGCATATTGCTGGTTTCCTGGATAATAAATAGATATGCGGTTTTGTTTTATGATTCATGAAGGGTTAAACCGTATTGAATACTGCAGTTACAACATTCTACAGCCAATCAATGCCATGTTATGTGTCTGTTTGAAGTTACATTTTTGTTTGAAGTTACATTTTTTTACATTTGGCCAATTGTAATTGGATTATCATAGTCAATAACATGTTCATCGTATATTACTCTTTTATAAACAAGATATCTAAAAAATCGAACCAAATTTAACTTTATTTTCGATTTATTTATAATAATATAACTCAACTGGAAAGAAAGAAGTACATACATTGACAAGTACAAAAATGCTTTCAGACAAGCTCAACATTACCATGAAAACATCAAATACAATATTAATACATGAGATCAAAATAAAAAAGAAGAGGCATAGAACTATATGATACAAATGTTTAACACATTAGCACACAATATTCAAGAATATCTAAGATGTTGGCTACATTATTTGTAAAGTCTTTAATAAGATCCATAAACCTTGACATTATTCATGAAGTATTGTATTGTCAATTTTTGTTCCTACTATGTTTTCTCCTCATATTATATTATAATGACAAACATCAACCAATACATGGAGAGTTCATTTTATGTTTTTATAAACATACACCATTCATCTATAAACTAGAATATCAAGCCGATGTGCACATTTAAATTGCTGATAAATTGTTAAAACAATACTGACAGAATAGAAAATACAATGTAGTTGTATACAAAAATGAAACAGTAGCTTTTGTATTTTTGTCTTTGTTTTTAGAAAGAAGGGTGCTACATAGAACAAAACATGGGATTTGAGAGCTTTTAACTGAAAAGGAACGCTAGTTATCTCCTTTATTTTGTCATTTCCTTGTCATGTTAGAAGCGAAATAACATTAATCTGAGCAGTGTTCATCGGTTATTTAACACATATTTGTCATTTTGATGCAAAGACTGTTATCACGAATGCCTACGACCCATGTAACCGATTCCTGCGTATCCAACCTCCAAACCATTGTAAAATAGATCAAAAAACACTGCTTAGACCGATCTTGTTTCTGACAATTCTCAACCGAGCAATATTTCAATTTCTATAACAAGGGACAGGCGTTATTTTAAGACTTTTTCTAGTCCTCCTTATTTTTAGTCCCTTTTCAATCCTCTTAAAATATGACGTTATGTAAAGAACTTTCATCGTATATATCCGAAAAAGATACATTCGAACTATATATGTGTTACTAATAATCAATCTTAAATCAGCTTAACTACTTTAGAAAAATAATCATGACGACGTCGTGATAATCGTATTACAAATATATTTTTTGACATTTACTAGCGACTGTTTACCAATTTTAGGGTCAAAATCCATGCCATTCTTTTGTAATGTGTGCTTCCCAATATCGCAGTTTAATTCAGTGACGCAAAATATAATCATTGTCTAGCAATTATTCATGGCTTCCATTTTAATCACTTTTGGCACAACTAAGCTAAACGCGCTAAAATTATGATAAATTATATTAAAACAAGAGGTACCGTTGAAAACGAATTATGCTATCCTAAGATATTTGTATTAACCAAATGAACCTGACGCCTGGAAAAAGGTACATGTCCATACCAAATACCAATTTACTAAATAGAAAAATATACAGAGAAATAGCAAACAGGAAAAATGTTTATGTCTTAATGGCATTGACCATGGTCAAATTATCGAGTTTGTAAGGGTATATTGATAGTGTTAGATATCAGACAATAAGTTAATATGATTTGAGAAACTATACGTGTGAGGGAAAACAGTAAGAAAGGCGGGGCTTCGTTTGAAAAGATTCTAAATTAAGAAGATGGACACATTGAAACTAAAGGATTTGCTTCAAGTTGCTGCCCGGAAACAAAGTCTAACCATACAGCTAATGCAGGGCATGGTCATTCGTTACATCCGCACCGTCTCTTGATATACATTTTTCACTTTTTAGCAAATACGAACATTGAATTTTTCTCTAACACAATGTCCAAGTTGAAAATTGACAGTTTAAGATATTTAGCGTGGTAAGGGTTAAGTATGTTGTAAATCTTTACAGTATCTGGTGATAATACAGTGTCTTTAACTGCTTACATTCAATCTTTATCGCATTACCAGTGTCATGCAGTCAGACTTATAAATATCTGGCACATTCCTCGTATTGATATCAGTTCATTTTAACTGATTAAACTTTCACATATTCCAATGTAGAGATGTTGTTTTTTCTGATGCCTGCTTCTGTTTTCTTGTTGTATCATTTGTCTGTATTCATGTTTACTACAACACACATACATAAACTGTAATCGGTGTTTCAGGAGTAAATAATGTACGTCCTTAATACGAAGTAGAGCACTGTTATTTTTATTATTATACTTTTAAACTTCCATTTCTGATATTTTTATTCCATTGACCTCAAGTTCTTACACAAATAACTTTTAAAAGCGTTTCAAGAATAAAAGCAACGCATTTTCGCTATAAATTATTACAAAAGGTAGCAGTTATATGACAAACTTTGATTAAAGCCACATTCTACTTTATGCAAGGAGTACATATGTACATATTCAGATATAAAAGCGGAATGAAAAAGTGTGAACTGTCTACATAAATTTTTTCTTGTTTTACACAAAAAGGTCACACACAAATTAATTAAAACAACATAAAACTGGACGTTGCAACCATCTGTTACATCTTTTGATCACATATCAGATCCATAGTGTGCTTGAAACGTTACAAAAACTATTTTAGAAAATAGTTCAACAATACTGACAATCCGAAGCTTTCTATTATTCAAGTTACCCAAAAATACTTATTTAGTATATTTATTTTATTATCACTATTCTCAGTTCTCAAACTGTATGAGCGAGTTTGACTGTTTAACATGTGGACAAAGTTTAAGGCGTTGAAATCAAGGGACGTCGATACTACTCTGTCGGCGACAATAATATGGAGTTCTCTTTTCCTCTCCCCAATTCACTGCAAAGGAATAAATAATTCAATAATTAAATAATTTAATATTTATTTACTTCCTTTCCTTACTAGATCATATAATGATAATCTAAAAGAATTACATGAAAGGAACTGTATTGCATATGAAACCTTCACACAAAGTTTCAGAGTGTTCTTGACGTACCACCATTACTCGTTATAGTTAATACAATTAACCTTAAGGTCGATCACTTCATGGAATATAAGATACATAAGAAGAAGATAGTAAAAATCTAAATAGGGTTTACAAGTTCTTAATACGATTGAACAAGCTTCACATTTTATGTTATATTTAGCATAAACAAGATTGCTTATAACACGTGTACAGTAACTTGTATTGTTGCACATTCGGTGCTTGCTATAAACACTTACAAAATGTGATCATATGCAGAAATTAAAACTAGCCAAAACAAAATAGAAGTAGAAAAATCCATCTCAAATGAATAAATGAATTATGCAAAATAACACTTACTAGCAAGTGTGACCATGTTCATACCCCACAATATACTCCAAACCCAGCCAACGATGATAATGAAGGTGATCATTTGGAGGAATGCTGAAAGAAGGTTGAATAAAAAAGCCGCAGTCCTCTTGTTGAGCGCTGTTGGGGCACCACATAATACTGTAAACGCCGATATAAATGTCCCTAAAAATAGAAAAGTCATATTTTAGAGATACATGCTTTGTTCTTTTGTTCCTGAATAACATCCATTGGTGTTCTCCAGTCAGTATTTTATATATTTCATTAGAGATAATGTTTTGCATGTGAAACCAATGTACAGATAGACCTGTCTATAAATGTGTTACGGAGGACCATCTCATTCCTGTTAAAATGAGTTTTATTTTACACTCAAATCTCTGACAGTCATAAAATAATTTACCACTGTTTAAACTCATATTTTTACTTTTTGTTACTGCTTTTTTTCATGTTGCAGTATGTAATCATATGTACTTTGTTTTATAAAAAAATACATTTTGTTATTATCCTTGCTTTCGTTTATGAATGTCCCTAAAATACAGACATTGCTTCTTTAATCAGCAAGGTTTGTTAATCAATATAATGAAAATACTCATGAGACCAGTAATTAATCAGCATTAAGTCTGCTCAGGGTATAGTAATATGTTTTCCTTTACAACGTAAAAGACTGTCAGACATATCTTTAAAGTCTATTTGATGATGGGACATGTAAACAGTCTAGTATTAATGCATTAAACGCCATGATTTTGTTGGTTTTAGAAAGGATTGTATTGATACTATAGTTTCAATCAATTTTATTGAGCAATTGGTACATCATGTTATGAACTTATCTATATTTATGTAAAAAAATACAACAAGAATGATTTAAACCTCAACAAAGTTTATTTTATATCTTAAATATTTTTCAACCAGTATTGTAAGAGGGATAACATGGCATTTGTTACTAAGAAATATATATATATATATTTCACAATGGGTTTTGTTTGTAAAAATGCCACAATTACTGGCTTTGCATTATAAACATTCAGTCCTGTGAAAGTGTACAATGAATCGTTGACTGACCTATTAACAACAACCACAATTACCCAAAATAAACCATTTCTTTGCACACGATTTCTACCACAGGATTATATATACTTAAGACTAATTACTTATCGAGGAATTTTCTTTGCAATGTGCCCATAGATAGTGTTTTCTCCTAAAACAATATATTTCTTGCGAATGAAAGCAACATTGCGTGTCTTATCGTCCCTGTTATTTACAAAAGAAAAAAATAAGTCTTGTGTCAACAAACAATGCATTACACAATCAGCATTTGTGAAAATCATGATAAAAATGATGTCAGAAGTAACATGACTTCCTTACGATTGTGATGTAGGAAAACTGAGGATCCAGCTTGTAATGCAGTTGTATTAAGTAAATGATAATGATAAACAATTACGGATTGTTTTAATATCCTTTCAAACATGTTTAATCCGTCGAGCAAAATTTTTATTTGAATTAATTTTTTACACTCATATAGAGACAATGCTGCGGTGAATATATCATTTCTAGTGAGCATTTTTAAAGGGAAAAATAAAAGCAGAGAAAGAAACTGAGTTGAAAGATTAAGAACTTCCTTTATTTGTTTATGAAAAGGTTTTAAAGGTTTATAATATCAATAAAAACAAAGCATATTTTATTTTCAAGATTCTTTACATGACTGTGTATTCTATTCTTAGTTGTAATGTATTTACCATTATATGCTTATTTGTTATACGTACTGAGTACGCATAAGCATATTGCCCGGATGAATTTTGAAATAAACTCTTGAAACTCTTGTTTAATACAGGGACACAACGTGTTATATATTTGCTATATCTAGTACATCTTATTGTTTACCAGTTAAGAGAATAAAAAGTACAAACATCGGAAACTATATTGCAAAGAAATCAAGAAACAATTACTATTTTATATCTTCCCAGCAAACACATGACGTTAAAATAACGTCGGATTAATGTTAGATTTTGGTCACGACGTCGGCGACCAAAATACGACGTAAATCTGACGTGAAAATACCGATGTCTAATAGACGTTTCTTTTTGTGGTCGTACTAACGTCTGGTTCTGATCGGTGTCCTGACGGTAGGTAAAAAAAATAACAAAAAATAATCCTTATTCGCTGTTGTAATCATTTAAACTTTTTTTCAAATGTTATTTGGATTACAAATGAAGTGTTCTTATATAAATACAGACCAAGATCGCGGCGCTGCAACATAATAAAACATATAGGTGGCGCTGTATATAGGCAAGTTACATGAGTTATTGTTATGTAATCTATTTATAGCCACAGATCTGTTTACAAGTTCCAATCATTTAACGTTGTAATATTATTATTTTTGGTACATTATATGTATCAAAATTACGAGTTTTTAATAGTGCTTTAACATTTAATCATAGTGACAGAAAAGGGAAAGAAAACATAATTAACCTATAATTCGAATCTAAAGTCACGTGGATGGAAATTCAAATTCGTAGGCGTTACGTTTTGGCTGTCGGTCAGGAATCGGGATGCATTGATAAGTGAATATTATAGATTTTCTTGAACAAAAAGGTCAGTTCAATTTATTTAGATTTATTTCTACTTTGTATTTGATAAATAATTGCATGATTGCAAGCACTCTTAAATTTAATTATCATTATTTGAACAGCTGAAGTAAAATGTCACACAAATTCGCGATAATGTCTAATAATAAATCTTTTTAAAATTGACATGTTTTAACTCTGCTTGTGAAGAGTTTATAATATGTCTTTCAGTACTACCAAAGAGAATGCTTAGTTTTCATATTTTTCTTAAACTGTGATGTTTTTGTCAGTTAAAATCTGAGAATTGAGAATGAATTTGTACGATTTCGAGCATTTCGGACCAAGACGTCTCGGTCCCAAATAACCCAAAACGTTCCGGTCCCAAATAACCAAAGACGTTTTGGTTCCAGACATTTCGGAATTATATCTTTAATTTAAAACTGAAATATTTAAGACTTCCTTAACTGTTCTATTTCAAACGTAGAATATATACAGTACATAAGTTATAATATAATTTTCTTTTCAGGTAGTTAAAGTGTTGGACATGCTCTCAAAGGTCGGAGGGACGGAAACACGTGAATATGTAAAAAGAAACATATGAAAGTAAGATTTTTGTAAATTCTATTACATACTTTAATCCATACTAAACTGGAGTTTAAAAGCGGCTTTTTAAATGTTCAGCACTTATGTTTACTTTTAATTTTTGTTAAAGCTCTCTTATAAAAAGTTGGCAAAATTGTTCTTTAAGTTAAGATAACCATGAAAACATTTTTGCTTGTTATTTTTACATGTTTCATAAATTTCTTTTTTTTTCAGTGAAAATGATGTCACACACGCTATTGGACGCTACAAACGCTACATATCCCCCGGACAGACGAGTGGTGCTGATAGAAGGTCATATCTTAAAGCATCACACCTCAAAATTCGTGCTAATTCTCATGGATATCTAAAAGTATAACTTTGTGAAGTAACTAAAAGGCAGCAATTTATACATTACTGACAATAATCAAAGGAGGTCAAAATATGCAAAATGGCACTAAATGTTTAAGAAATGCTGTAGAAATATAGTTAAAGTACTGAAAATCTGTCATAAATTGCTTGAAACATTATTATCAGAATCTTTTAACTTTTCTTAAAATTATAATATTTTCATTATTTTGTTTGATAAGGCAAACTTTGATAGAAATGTGCATACATTGTTTTGTTCTTTAAATTTGTACATGTTTTCTTAGTTTCATTTATGTCATTGTTTTTGTAATACTTTTTGTTTTGTAATTAACTTATTTTATGTTTTATTTTGTTTAATTTATGAAAATTATTTAACCTTGCAAAATTTACTAAAATTGTATATATCAGCTTAAAATTGCAACTTTTATTTTAAATTAAAAGAGCATGAAACATATTTTTGCTTTTAGTTTTCTGTTATACATTTCAATTGAGGGAAAGTTACTTAATAGAATGAGTTAAATTAAATTCGATCAAATCAGGATTAGCCAGAAAATATTTATGACGTGGTGAAACAAAAAAGATTAGGGGAATGATAAGATGAAGGTCAGATAATAATCAGATTTAGGGCAGAAAAGGGTTAATATTTAGGTCGGAAAATGGTCAGATTGAGGTCGGAAAATGGTTAGAAACTGGTTAGATTTAGGTCGGAAAATGGTCAGATTGAGATCGGAAAATGATCAGATTGAGGTCGGAACATGGTTAGATAATGGTCAGAAAAAGGTTAAATAATGGTTAGATTCTGACGTCTACCTGATGTCAGATTATTACGTCAAAAAAACTTTCAAATCCAACCGTTTTTCCGACCGTCATCCGACGTCAGAACCTGACTTAAATCTGACGTCAGTATGACGTCTTGTGTTTGCTGGGTTACTTCTTTTCAAATTGAATTTAGTTCTGAATCAATACTAGTTCACTAATCCATGCAGTATACACACTCTGTTTCGTTTTTCTTACAGTCATTTAATCTACTTGTGCATTTAATTAAAGCTGAAATCCAACTTGGGAAGTAGTCTGATTTAAGAAACAAAAGAATAAATATTTCTGTGAATCTAATGGGAATTATTTTGCTGACAGTTTAATAAATGTGAGGGATTTCGCGTTGCAGGCAATCAAATGAACTCAAGTGTATAACATAATAAGGTATTATTCTATGAAATATTAGCAACGGTCTACTAACAATGTCTTAACTCCTTGAATACCACCATCTGCTTTATATTTTATATTGGCAGACAGACACATCTGTCTGGAATGCAACAATTTGGCAAATGTATAGTAAAAGAATATGTAATGATTAATCGAGTGCGTTTAAAACAATTGATAACTCATTTGCAAAAGAAGCTCATGGACAGCGATAACAACTTACATCCTGTATGAACAATTGTTTGGTAGGTAAAAGAAAAGGAGAAATCGCACCCTATAGATAATAAGAGGAAGTTTATTAGGTAGAAAAACGCAAAATGCAGACTCAGCAAATGAACATATGGGAGAGATATTCTTTGTCTCATACCAATAAAACCCTAAATTATATTTTTGTTCTCTCTTCTGCATTTAAAGCACAAATTATACGTAGAATATTATAGTAATTGGAATTTATCTGATATTCTAGAAGAAAAACTCCAATGCTGATCATGATTTCGAGTACAATTTGAGTGAACTGCTTTTCTTGCAAAATATGCTTAAAACAGTTTTAATGGTAAGTGACTTGAATATCATTTTTGTGATGCAATATTTTTTGTTAAAAAAGGGATGGATGGCTTGAATGATATTTTAGGGGGAACATCATAATCAATTCAACAATAATCGTTATCATTTATGTTGGCTATAAGATAAACTCGGGACACGTGTTATATCTATACCAATCTGTCCTTGTTGTAATCAACATCTTATCTCATAAGATATCCTATTCTGTATACAATGTAACTGCATTTGGCACTTTACTTGCAAATAAATGAAGTGTTATAAAAATAATCCTTATTCGAACACGTGACATTTTCCGTCCATATCAATTTTAAGAAAAAGAAGAAAAAGCTTCATACATAAGCTGATTACTCCAGAATTGAAGTATTATCCTTGGCTATAAATATTGTCCATTAGGAAATGAAGTGATTTTGGTAAGTGGTCTTAAAGTGGTTAGAAGATTGGAATGGCGCATTACTGTCAGAAAAAATAAACAAACATGAAAACAAAGATTGTGTACTTAACCTATATTTACACAAACATTTGTCATAATAAAACGATTTCAATAGAAATATGCGTGCATGATCATGGAACCATTATTCGAGTTGCGAACTGTTTGTTGTTCAGAAACAATATTGTTGATTATGTCCCAAGTATGATTTCGTTAACTTTCTTTTACACAATATTTTACCGATTCCAAAGAAAACGAAGCTTCATTGTTTATCGTTTTATTAATCAACTTTACCTCACCAACCACTCTCATTTTCTATACAGTAAAATTAGTCTATAACTATTATTAACTTCACCAACCTCTAGTTTTAATTATGCTCCTTTTCCATGATATTTCAGAAGTTTCAAGTAACATAGTAAACACGTACTTGGAAATATATAACATGAGACATTCAAGTATGCAAAAGATACTATTAGACCTGAGAAGCCCATCGCTAGTGAAACGTTAATGACATCACTTCAAAGTTTTCTTAACAATCGATTTAAAGTCATAAAAACAGATAAGGTTTCTGCCTATAAAAATAAGAAGGTTTTAGATGAAATAATGTAAGATGTAAGCTACAACACAACAACGGGGATAATTTATTGCATATAATCAGAGACATAGATAACACAGATAGGCAACTTCCTAGGCAAGTAGCATGCTTACTAAACTTAAAATTTGTAGCTAGTAAAACTTATTAGCCAGATATCAAAATCAGTAAAATAATACATTTTCTGAAAGCTTACGTATTTGGTTATGGCTATAGGTAAATATTTACAGTGCCCATTTAAATAAATGATACATTTTTTAAAAAGAGAACTACTTAATTGGTAATCTACATTTCTGATATAATTATGCACTAATTTTTGTGTTCTCGTTTTGGAACAAATAATGCAAAATAGAATTAAAATAATGCGTTTGGTTTTAACAACAAATTTCCTCTAAGATAAGTTTACATATAAATCCTGATATATCGTGTCTTGAACGAGTAGGGAAAAGTGGTAAAATTGTTAGATCTATAACTAGATTAGAAAAATTTAATCTAATTCAAACATTGGAATAAATAAGTTGTAGTTAATTTTAAGCTTACTAGGGTCAACTGAATCTACCCATACGATCAGTTTAAAATTTAATAATATTTTATTGAATGTATAAATAAGCATCAATTTATTTACATCAAAATAATTACACAATATACAAAAGGGTTAAGCCAAAAGGTTTACAACATTTTTGTGGGTCCTTCCAAGCTCAGCCGCCTTATCATGGTCTGTTTTGTTCGCTTTTCATTAAGTTCATAGCATTATATTTTCCCTAAAAATAATGAATGGCTCAGAGTATTTCAAGCTGGACAAGTGCATTAAAGATAATGAAGGTGATAACAGTTCATTCAAAATTACAAATTTCTGTATTTTCCATATATGTTTTTGTAAATATAGCCAATGGCAATTTGCATGAAGATAGCCAATAAATTTTGAAACCTTGAATTATTGAAGAAGTAGATATGTGAACTGTTCCGTTTTCAATAAGCACCAACATACAGCTTTATTCCCCTCGTCAGCTCTTTAAGGATCTTCTAAAAAATATTATACGATGTTTATACGATCAGTATTATAAATGTTGATTGAATTTTACTCTTATAAATTTTGTTAAAAAGTAAAATATTTTTAAATATTGAGAAAATTAATAGAAATGTATCATTTGGAAAAGAGCTCTTTGTGATTTAGTGTGAAAATATACAAAAATTATGTTGAATAAAAATATTTTGTTCTAGAACACTATCTGTTATATACTTATAAATCATATAGGATCATGTATCTTACACTTCCCAACAACGGCCATTGATACTTAGTTCGTGGTTTTCACATATCCATTAAATACTTTCAAATAATTATTCGGTATAAAAAGACTTCCATTAAATTACCTTTCATTTTCCTTGAATAAAAACAAAAAACGGGATACAAAAATATTCTTAAAATTTTACATTAATGGAAATTATACGAACAATTATGTAATTGTAAATTATTACGAACCCTTTGTGCCTGCAAAAACTGGTATTGTCTCATATATTTCCGTATATTAAAACACACCCTCTTTCGCGACAAAGAAATGGTCTTGGTGAAAGCAAATATTCAACAATAACAACAACATTACTTAGCAATTAAGCATTACAATGCTTTAAGTCATAATATACAATTGACATAAAGTGAAAAATGAAACGAAAACTGTCGAAAGAAAGCCAGAGTTGGTTATAAGACTTAAGTGTATATTTACCTATTTATTGCGGCATATTTTTATCTTATGATGAAATGCTGAGACTGCTCTTTAAATATTTATATTTATATCATTCGTAGATGTACTTGACTGCATCACGATAACAGGGTAAATTTAAAGAAACAAAAAAAAAATCTTACAGTGTATATAATGGAAATTATTTTGCTGACAGTTTAATAAATGTGAGGGATTTCGCGTTGCAGGCAATCAAATGAACTCAAGTGTATAACATAATAAGGTATTATTCTATGTAAATTATAGCAACGGTCTACTAACAATGTCTTAAATCCTCGAATACCACCATCTGCTTTATATTTTATATTGGCAGACAGACATATCTGTCTGGAATGCAACAATTTGGCAAATGTATAGTAAAAGAAGTGACTTGAATATCATTTTTGTGATGCAATATTTTTTGTTAAAAAAGGGATGGATGGCTTGAATGATATTTAAGGGGGAACATCATAATTAATTCACCAATAATCGTTATCAGTTATGTTGAATATAAGATAAACTCGGGACACATGTTATATCTATACCAATCTGTCCTTGTTGTAATCAACAAATTCTGTATACAATGTAACTGCATTTGGCACTATTCTTGCAAATAAATGAAGTGTTGTTGTAAAAATAATCCTTATTCGAACACGTGACATTTTCTGTCCATACCAATTTTAAGAAAAAAAAGAAGAAAAAGCTTCATACATAAGCTGATTACTCCAGAAGTTAAGTATCTTCTTTTGCTATAAATATTGTCCATTAGGAAATGAAGTGATTTTGGTAAGTGGTCTTAAAGTGGTTAGAAGAATGGAATGGCGCATTACTGTCAGAAAAAATAAACAAACATGAAAACAAAGATTGTGTACTTAACCTATATTTACAC